CCTCCCTCAACTCAAATGCAGGTAGGAATATTTGTTTTTCTTGTTCACTGCTGTATCTCAATTCCTCTACAGGTTCATGTGGGACAAATGGTATTTGGGAAAGAGAGTCGCAGGCAGTCTTCAAACTGAGCTTCAAAATCTCCTTGGGAACATAAATACATAGAGTCCTGAGCCCCATCCCAGATAGAACATAGAGAATATTGTATATCATGTTAAGGGGTTCAGGTTTTATTCCCAAAGCCTTTGAAGGGAATAACCCATCCAACCTGTGTTTTAATAAAGAATATCAGGAATGAGATAGACTGGGTTAAATTTTGGAAAAAGACCTCTTGAGATTGTTGTAGTAGTTTAGACAAGAGATGTTGTAACTTAAAACGGAAAATAGCAATGAGAAAGTTAGGGGTTTTGGGGAGTTGGTGATTGATCAGGTATGAAAGAGCAGGAGGAATGGGATGAATTCCAGGTTTTTCTCTTACGTGTTAGGTGAATGGATTGTCAGTAACTCTGAGGCAGGCGATACAGGATGGAAGAATGGGCCTGGGGAAAGATGGTGAGTTTACTTTTGGGTATGATGGGTTTGAATTGCTAATGGAGTGATCAAAAAGAAATGTCCAGGAAGTAGAGTGTGTGCGGGTATGGATTTTTGACTGAGTGTTATAATAATGTGAGAAAGATGTGGATTTGGAAGTTACTAGATTTCATGTATTCATGAACTAATCTGGGCAACTGCTAATCTACCTTTTGTCTCTATAGGTTTGCCTATTTTGGAAATTTCATATAAATGGGATCACATAATATGTGGCCTTTTGTGATTGGTCTCATTCACTTAATATAATGTTTTCAAGGTTCATTCATGTTGTATCAATACTTCATTTTTTTTGTTGCCAAATATTTTACTATATGGATATACCACGTTCCACTGGTTCCACGTTCAGCTGCTCACCAGTTGAACATTTGAGTTGTTTCCTTCTTTTGACTATTGTGAATAATGCTGCTACGAACATTCACGTGGACATACATTTTCATTTCTCTGTGGTAAATGCCTAGGAGTAGAATTTCTGGATCGGGATCCCTGGGTGGCGCAGCGGTTTGGCGCCTGCCTTTGGCCCGGGGCGCGATCCTGGAGACCCGGGATCGAATCCCACATCGGGCTCCCGGTGCATGGAGCCTGCTTCTCCCTCTGCCTGTGTCTCTGCCTCTCTCTCTCTCTCTGTGTGACTATCATAAATAAAATTAAAAAAAAAAAAAAAAAGAATTTCTGGATCATACGGTAACTCTACGTTTAACTATTTGAGGAACTGACAGACTTGCCTAAAGTGGCTGTATCATTTTACATTCCCACCAGCATTGTATGAGGGTTCCAATTTCTCCACATCCTCCCAAACACTATTTGTTATCTTTCTGATTATAGCCATCTAGTGTGTGTGAAGTGGTATCTCATTTGGTTTTGATATGCATCTTTTCATATGCTTATTGGCCATTTATATAACTTTTTTGAAGAAATGCCTGTCCAGATCCTTTGGCCATTTTTTTAAAATTTTTATTTATTTATGATAGTCACAGAGAGAGAGAGAGAGAGGCAGAGACACAGGCAGAGGGAGAAGCAGGCTCCATGCACCGGGAGCCCGATGTGGGATTCGATCCCGGGTCTCCAGGATCGCGCCCTGGGCCAAAGGCAGGCGCCAAACTGCTGCGCCACCCAGGGATCCCCCCTTTGGCCATTTTTTAATTGAGTTAGTGGCCTTTTATTTTTGAGTTAAGAAAAGAGTTCTTTATATATTTTAAGTACAAATCCTCTATCCTATTCATTTGATCTTTGAGCAACACACGTTTGAACTGTGTGGATCCACTTACAGATGGATTTTTTACAGTACTATAAATGTATTTTCTCTTCCTAATGATTTTCTTAATATTTTCTTTTTCTAGCTTGCTTTGTCATAAGAATACAGTATGTAATACATACACAAAATATGTGTTAATTGAATGTTTCTGTTATTAGGCTTCTAGTCAGCAGAAGGTTCTTCGTAGTTAGGTTTTTGGGGAGTCAAAAATTACATGAGATTTTGGACTGCAGAGGAGTTCAGTGCCCCTAACCCCTGCATTGTTCAAGGGTCAGCTGTTAATGATTTGCAAATTTCTCTCATTCTGTGGGTTGTCTTTTACTTTCTTAATGGTGTCCTTTAAAGCACAAAAGTTTTTAGTTTTGATGAATCTGGTATACCAATTTTTTTTTCCTTTGTTTATGCTGTTGGTATCATATTTAAGAAACCATTGCCAAATCCAGGGTTACAAAGATTTGTGCTTGTATTTTTTTTCCTGTTATGAGTTTTATATTTTTAGCTCTCTCATTTAGGTCCTCGATACATTTGGGGTGCTAGTCTTTTTTTTTTTTTTAAGATTTTATTTATTTATTGATGAGAGACACAGAGAGCAAGAGAGAACGCAGCAGAGACACAGGCAGAGGGAAAAGCAGGCTCCATGCAGGGAGCCCAACGTGGGACTGGATCCTGGGTCTCCAAGATCAGGCCCTGGGCTGAAGGCGGCGCTAAACCGCTGAGCCACCCGGGCTGCCCAGGGTGCTAGTCTTGACCCTGCCCTTACTTGCTCTGTGACCTTGGACTGTTTATTTGCCTTTTCTCAGCATCACTTTTTTTCATCTGTAAAGTGAAATTTGATATGTGTGTACAGGTATAGAACAACAGAAAACAGATCAGTAGTTGTCACAAGCTGGGAATCAGTGGGAGGGGATTGACTACAAAGATGAGAGAATTTGGGGGGAGGGTGATGAAAATGCTTTATATCTTACTTGTAGGGGAGTGCTTATATGACTACATCTTTCAGGGCTCAAAGAACTGCATACCCAAAAGGAGTAAGTTTCACTATGTGTAAATTGTACCTCAATAAGTTGGTCTTTAAAAAAACCCAAATCTTACAACAGCTCTAAGAAGAGCTCTAATAAGAATGTATTATTATTTTACATTATAAGGCTAGAGGTAACTGAAGCTCAGGAAGGTCAGTGAACTTGCCACCAGCCCCACACTTGGTATGTGGCAGTTCCAGGTTTGAACCTAAATCCGCCTGATCATAGAGTTTGTGAACTTCCTACACATTTTTAGCCTATCTCTGATACTATTAACAGCATGTAGATTCTCTTATAAAAAAATGACCTTCCCTTGAAAGCCAGGAACCCTTTCTTTCTGTGAGCAGCTTCCCCAGACATGACTATCACATTCTTAATCCAAAATTTGAACCCCTGGCAGACCTTATTTCTGTCAGTCATTAGTTGGGCTTGGAATTGATACCTGTTACAGAGTATTGCTCAGACATGATCTCCTTTTGAGGGTGTGGGCCTCATTTTGGAGCAGCAGGAGACCAGTTCCAAAACTGATGCTTAGCAACACAGGGTATTTTCTAGTAGGAGAGTGACCAGAGGTTTACAGGGCTAGTTCTACTGCTTAGCACAGTCTTGCTTACCCTAGCTTATTTAGCAGAGAACTAGTTGGGCAGAAGAGAGATCCAAGGAGGGAAAATGTACAAGTGGTCTTTCGTGTTGTTACTGTTGTCACATCATCACCATCATCATTTACCTCTGCATGCCACCTGACAGTTTGCAGTGTATTTTGACATTCTGAGATCTCTCTTAATTCTCCCAGTATCTGTTAGGAGACTGCTTATATTTAGAGAGAGAGTGTCACTTGGTGGTATTCTTGGATAACTCTGGCTGCAAGGGTTTTTTCTTCTTAAGGTGTGCTGAAATATATATCTCCTATAATTTTCGTCAGGTTTTTCTGGTTTCATTTGTCAACTGGGAGTAGTTTAGTCTGTTGCCCTGGGGTGATTTGCCAGGGCTGCCCATTGGGTACATTTCAGGAAGTTCTAAGCCTCTGAAATTGACCAGCAGCATTTCCCTTTTTGCCTGTTTGACTGCCCTACCTTCCTCTCCTTAGGAACTCATTTTTACTTCACCTTTCCTTCCAGAACCCTGGAGAGACTTAATTAATTGCAGAGCAGTTGTCATCAAGCCAGCTGTTCACTGCCTATCTTGACATTTGACTTGTTTCCTATCCTGAGGTGCTACAAGAGAAGTTAATGACCTAAAAAATTGCCCATCCATCATGTGAGCCTACTTAGGAGGGAATTGTTTGATTTTTATGAAGTGTAAATAATATATTTGTAGAGACAAGTTTTTCAAATGTGTTGCCCTATACGTGAGAGATGGTTCCCTAAACAAGATGGGACAAATTGGCTGGCTAATAGAGTTTAATGACAGATTTTTCCATTAATCAGAATAGAGAATGTGCTTCATTAAGATAATTAACAGAGCACTTGTGCAGGTGATACTACACACAAATTTCCAAGTTTATATCTTTCCGTTGAATAAATTTTGAAAGAGATCTTGGCTATGTTTCCTTGTTTGCATTAGAGTGATCAATGGCAATAAATTTCTATTTTTTCTACTAGTAACTGATATCATGTCCTCTGCAGTTGCAAAGAATTGGTGAGATACTTGCTGCTCTTCCTAATAGTGTATGTGCTCACTGTTTGCTCTTGGGCTCCCTTGGTGAGCAGTAGAAGTGCATCCTTTCCTAGCTCCTAGACTAACATCCTTAGAATTAGAAAGTACCTCAGAGAATCTAAACTAATTAATTTCACATCAGGACATTGGAGTCCAGTGAGGGGAAGTGACTTGGTCAATGCCACACAGTATTCTAGTGGCATAATCACCTGTGGGAGAATGGGTCTGGTTCTGAACTGAAAGGCAGAAGGCCTGGTTGACATTAGGTAAGTTGTATCACCTCTCTGCTTCTCAGTATCTTTATCTATATGATGAGCAAAATGTATAGCATAGGGCCAAGTACAAACAAATGGCTTTTTGTTTAGTCCTCTTTCTGCTGTACTGAGTTGTTCTCGGAGTATAAATTGAAGGTTGTAGAGGGGAAGCTGATGTCAGGGAAAATGAGCAATCAATAATCGGTGCTCTTTTCTTTGTTTCTCAATAGGATCCTCAGTCTTCCACAATGAACCCTGTTTATAGCCCCGTGCAGCCTGGGGCTCCTTATGGCAACCCTAAGAACATGGCCTACACAGGTGAGTGGTGTGAGAATAGTTCTCATTTTGAAAAATGGTGGTTAAGGATACTACCAAATAACATGCTAAATGACTTTTGGTATACTTTACCAGAGCCTCCCAAAGCTCTGATAATGCTTGCCACTTATAGAAGAGATACATGTCTAGGGTCCAGTTCTTACAACTAAACATTTTGAACTGTCAACTAAGGGAAATGAAGAGAGGTAACATTTATTTATTGAGTACCTAGTATGGGCCTGGACCTGTGATACATACTTTCAAATGTTTAATTTTAATCTTAAAGCAGTTCTTTTTTTTAAGATTTTATTTATTTATTCATGAGAGACACAGAGAGAGAGACAGAGAGACAGAGAGGCAGAGACACAGACAGACACAGAGGAGAAGCAGGTTTCATGCAGGAAGCCTGATGTGGGACTTGATCCTGGGACTCCAGGATTATGCCCTGGGCCGAAGGCAGGTGCCAAACCGCTGAGCCACCCAGGGATCCCCCTTAAAGCAGTTCTTCATGGTACAGCTTCTTATCACCATTTCACAGTTGAGAAAACGATTGTCACAGTAAGAGACCATGAAACAAAAACAAAAATAGATATTTGAACCCAGGTCTGCTGATTCTGAAGACTGATCTTATTCCTGAACTTGAGGAAGCTGTTTCCTACTTCTCTGTCTTTGTGTATGTTGTTTTTCTGTCTGGAATGCCATTGTCCCCTGACAACTTCATCTTGTTCTTTAAGAACTCAGCTCTGAGCTCAGACAACACTCTTTCAGGAAGCATTCTCTCTCCCCTACTTGGCTTTAGGCAAATTTTTAACCTTCCAGAGCCTTGGTGCTCCCATTATAAAATGAGGGCAATAGTATTCTTTCTTTCGTTTTTACTACTTATTCATTATTCTAGGGTTTTTAATTTTTTTTAATTTTTTAAGATTTTATTTATCTATTCATGAGACACACGGAGAGAGAGATACAGAGACACAGGCAGAGGGAGAAGCTGGCTCCATGCAGGGAGCCTGACACGCAGGACTCAATCCCCGGACTCCAGGATCACACCCTGGGGCGAAGGCAGGCACTGAACTGCTGAGCCACGCAGGGATCCCTCTAGGGTTTTTTGTTTTTTGTGTTTTTTTTTTTTTTTTTATTGAAGTATAGTTGACATACAATATTACTTTAGTTTTGGGTGTACAACATACTAATTTAATAAGTCTATTTTGTTGTGCTATGCTCATCACAAGTATACCTACCGTCTATCACCCTACCATCTATCACCATGCAACACTAAGACAATATCATTGACTCTCCTTATGCTGTCCCTTTTATCCTTTTTATTCTTTTTATATTTGGAAGCCTGTATGTCCAACTCCTCTTCACCCATTTTGCATCCCCCACCAGCTCCTCTCTGGCAACCATCAGTTTGTGTTTTTTATATATAGGTCTGTTTCTGCTTTTTGTTTATTCATTTATTTTTTAGATTCCATATATAAGTGAAATCATGTGGTATTTATCTTTCTCTGTCTTTTTTTTTTTTAATTTTATTTATTTATTTATTTATTTATGATATTCACAGAGAGAGAGAGAGAGAGGCAGAGACATAGGCAGAGGGAGAAGCAGGCTCCATGCACCGGGAGCCTGACGTGGGATTCGATCCCGGGTCTCCAGGATCGCGCCCTGGGCCAAAGGCAGGCGCCAAACCGCTGCGCCACCCAGGGATCCCTATCTTTCTCTGTCTTATTTCACTTAGTGAAATATTCTCTAGGTCCATCCATGTTGTCGGAAATGATAAGGTCTCATTCCTTTTTATGAGTAATATTCCACTTGTGCACACACACACATATCTTCCACATCTTTTTTATCCATTCATTTGTTAGTGGACATTTGAGTTGCTTCTATACTTTGGCTATTACAAACAATGCTGCAACAAACATAGGGGTGCATATATCTTTTCAAATTAGTGTTTTTGTTTTCTTTGGGTAAATACACAGTAGTGGAATTATTAGATCCTATGATATTTCTGTTTTCATTTTTTGAGGAACCTCCATACTGTTTTCCACAGTGTCTACCAATTTACATTCTCATCAACAGTGCACACGGGATTCTTTTTCTCCACATCCTCACCAACACTTGTTGTTTCTTGTGTTTTTTATTTCAGTGTGAAATGATATCTCATTGTAGTTTTGTATTTCTCTGATGGTGAGTGATGTTGAGCATCTTTTCATGTGTCTATTTGCCATTTTTATGTCTTCTTTGGAAAAATGTCTATTCAAATTTTCTGCCCATTTTTTTTAAGAGATTTTATTTATTTATTCATGAGAGACTCCGAGAGAGAGGCAGAGGCATAGGCAGAGGGAGAAGCAGGCTCCCTGCAAGGAACCACGTGAGGGACTCAATCCCGGACCCTGAGATCACGCCCTCAGTTGAAGGCAGACGCTCAACCGCTGAGCCACCCAGGCATCCCAAAATGTAGTCTTTCTTTTCTTTTTTCTTTCTTTTTTAAGATTTATCGGGGGGGGGGGGCAGCATGAGCAAGCGGGGTGAGGGCAGAGGAAGAAGCAGACTGCCTGCTGAGTAGGGAGCCTGATGTGGAGCTCGATCCCAGGACTCCCAGGTCTCAACTCAAACTGAAGGCAGACATTTAATTGACTGAGCCACCCAGATGCCCCTTCTGCCCATTTTTAATTGGATAATTTATTTTGGGGGGTATTGAGTTGTATAAGTTCTATATATATTTTGGACAGATCCTCTGCTTGTTTTTAATTGGATTATTTGGGTTTTTTTTGGTGTTGTCTAAGTTCTTTATATATTTTGGACTTTAATCTGTTACTGGATGTATCATTTGCAGCTGTCTTCTCCCATCTAGTAGATTGCTTTTCCATTCTGTTGATGGTTTCCTTCACTGTGCAAAAACTTTCTATTTATATGTAGTCCCTGTAGTTTATTTGTGCTTTTGTTTCCCTTGCCCGTGCTCACTTTAGCAGAACATATACTAAAACTGTTTCCCTTGCCTTAGGAGATATATCTAGAAAAATGTTCCAATGGGAAGTGTCAAAGAGATTACTATCTATGTTTTCTTCTAAGAATTTTATGATTTCAGGTCTCATGCTTAGATTTTTAATTCATTTTGACTTTATTTTTGTGTATGGTGTAAGAAGGTGGTCCAAGTTCATTCTTTTGCACATAACTGTCCAGTTTTCCCAGTGCCATTTTATTAAAGAGACTGTCTTTTTCCCCATTGTATATTCTTGCCTCCTTTGTCATAGATTAATTAACCATATAAATACGTAAATGTGTATTTATTTCTCTATTCTCTCTTCTCTTCCATTGATGTATATGTGTACCGTTGTGTCAGTGTCATACTGTTTTGATTTAGGGCTGCTATCAAGATTAAATGAGCTAGTGTAAGTCCCTGAGCATGTAATATCTGATACAAAGTAAGCACTTAAAAATGTTATTATTTACAAATAAAGATGGGTAATATATATGATAATAGAAGTAAATGAGAAAATGTATTTAGGTTTTCTAGCATGGTTCTTAGCATATCATGGGCCTTCAAAAATAAAGTGAGTATAAATCCAAGGTGAGGGCAACAGTATGAATAAACACATGGGGAAGTAAGAAGGTGTGTTCAGAGTATAGTCAGTACTTGAGATTAGCTGGAGTAAAGAGTAGAAAAGGGGAAAAGTGGGGAGGCAGCTAGCTGGCTCAGTCAGAAAAGCATGCAACTTTTGATCTCAGAGTTGAGCCCCAAAAATCTTGGGGAGCCTGGTTTCAGCTCAAGTCATGATTTTGGGGTCCTGGGATTGAGCCCCCACATGGGGATCCCTGCTCAGTGGGGAGACTGTTTCAACCCACCCTCTGCCAGCTGCTCCCCTGCTTGTGCTCTCTGTCAAATAAATAAATAAAATCTTTAAAAATAAATAAAAATAAATTTGAAAAAAGGGAAGTGGAAAATAACGCTCAAAAAAATAGATGAATAATGGTCTTGATGGCAGGTTTGGAGGTGGGGGGTGGGGGGCAGAGTTTTGCCCCAGAAGATGGCCATTGGCAGTGAATGGAATGTACTGGTTCCTTCTTATAACTGCGCTTTACTGTGTATTCTGTATAACTTCCTATACTGAAACTGGAGGTATCTCAGAGAACTCTTTTGCTGATTGTTCTGTACTTGTTCTATAAGAACACTAAGGTGATGCTTCAGAAATTCCTCAAGTATGTGATTTGATTTTTTAAAATAATTAGAACTAAAGAGACAAACCATAAGAGACTCTTAATCATAGGAAACAAACTGAGGGTTGCTGGAGGGAAGGGGGGGTGAGAGGATGGGGTAACTGGGTGATGGGCATGCAGGAGGGCATGTGATGTAATGAGCACTGTATGTTATATGACTGATGAATCACTGACCTGTATTTCTGAAACTAATAATACATAATAAGTTAACTAATTGAATTTGAAGTTTAAAAAATTGAACATTAAAATGTTTAAAAATATTTAGAACAATTTTTATACACATAAGATGATCAATGTGTTAACTTAAGCTTCTAAGAATGCATGTTAATTAAAAAAAAAACAATAGTTGCAGCTACTTATGTTTGTAAATCAGGATTTTCTCAATGCTAGGCAACCTAAATAACATTCAGAAATATGTTGGAGGTTAAGCCTGATAGAACTATAGCTATTGTCACTAACTTTCAATTTCATATGTTTGTATTTATCGCAGCAGCCTTATTATCCCTATTTAACCTTAATAGTAAATGTTTTGAAATTTCTGCTTGGAAATATTTACTATACTAAAATTATTATATGTTTATTCTGATAAAATTAATTCCAATAACCAGGAACCACTGAGCAGTAGTTGCTCTATTTTTTCCCTGTTTAATGTCTCAACAACCTAAGTCCCTTTGGCAGAAAGGACTGAGCTACTTTAGTGGACAGAACCCAGGGGAATCCTGTGGGTTTCCTGTGACCCTGGCTGCCTTCATTTTCCCTGAATTGCTAAAGTTGAGAAAGGAGAAAGC